GAGGAGGAGGAGGAGGAGGAGGAGGAGGAGGAGGAGGAGGAGGAGGAGGAGGAGGAGGAGGAGGAGGAGGAGGAGGAGGAGGAGGAGGAGGAGATGGAGAACGTGTGTATAATCAAGATGGTATCACAGCATCATGCAGCGCCATGCATTCCCATGTCTGCACGCATGCATGCAGTGCCAACCAGACTATTTGCGCTACACCCAACTCCCCTTCCTTATTACTGCTGCCCCTCCCAATTCGCCAACCATTGCCATGTCCCCGACCCCCCCATTATTCCTCTCCCCTTCTCGTTTCCTCCTCCCAATGTCCCCTTGCCCCATTTTGTCTGTCACATCCCCCCTGTCCTTTTCCCCCTGCCCCCTGCCCCATGATCCCTATCCGCTGTCCATTAACCCCCGCTCCCCTATCCACTTCCCCTGTCCCATTCCCCCATCCACTCCCTCCTCTCAACTGCCCCCTCCCAGCAGAGCAACATCAGCAGAGCACAGCAGCCCACCATGACAGGGCGGCAGCAGGAAGGCGCGGTGGGAGAGGGCGACAGCGACGCCATGGGAGGCGCGGAACATGGCGGCCCGTGACAGCTGCGCCATGCCCTTGCCTATGAACCACCGCGACCGGTCCCGCCTCTCAAAACCTGTTGGGGGCCAGGGAGGGGCGTCAGGGCGAGGGAGGGAGGGACAGGGAGGGACAGGGAGGGACAGGGAGGGACAGGGAGGGACAGGGAGGGACAGGGAGGGGAGTACCTGAAAATGAAAAAATCACAAGCAATCATGGTGCTCAAAGCACGTGGGGACAGAGGAGGACATGGGAGGGGCGCCTGGGACTGAACCCTGTTCAACCATGCCATTCCATACCATGCCCGGCCACCATGCACCATGCCATGCCATGCCCCACCCCATGCCGCTCCTTGCCCTTTCACCTGCACGTGTGTGAGCAGAGCCCAGCGTTGCTCCTCGAGTCAACCCCACCAACCACTCACCCCCCTCCCCGCCTCCCTCCCCTCCTCCCTCTCCCCTCTCTTCCCCATCTGTCCCTTCTATCCTCTCTTTTCCACCTCCCCTCTCTCCCACCTCTCCCGCCTCTCCCTCCGCCGCCATGCCATCCACCCGGGCTTCAATGGCCACGCACACGGCCACAGTGTCCCCTGCTTCCACACCCGGGCTGCACGCCAGCACTCCAGGCACAAACACCTGTGGGATGGATGGGCAGTTGGGCGGGTGGGCGAGTGGGTGAGACACAGCAACAGGGTCGGCAAGTCTATGATTGACGCGCGTGAAGACGAGGCTTCACGCCCGGGCTGCACGCCAGCACTCCGGGCACAAACACCTGTGGGATGGATGGGCATGGGCGGGCAATACGGGGAAAGGCAACGGGAATGGCGAGCAACGGAAGAGGGAGGGGTGCCGAGGGAGGGGAAGAGAGGGAGAGGAAATGTTGGGTGTGGGAGAAAGAGAGAGACTTCAAGGCGAATGTTGGCTGTGCTGAATGATGGTGTTGAGTTACACTGGATTCACTTCACTTCACATTTGTGTACTTTCAAGAGAGGAAAAGCCGCAAAGCTGGAGCGTTCAGCTGTGCTGTGCTGTGCTGTGCTGTGCCGTGCTGTGTGTGGATGGATGGGCCGTGACTCATGAGCTGACGGAGAAACACAACAGCATTACAGCGCTTGTGAGCTCGCTGTGCCTGTTCCTGTGAGCTGCATTCCCCGCAGGTCACTCACTCACACCCACCCTCCACTTCCATGCCCCCCCCCACTCCCTCCATGCACCCCTCCCTCACATGACCCCCTTACTCACTCACATTGGCCCCTCGCAGCACAGCCTCGCCACACTTCCTGCTCACCACCACCTGCTTCATCTGCTCCATCCTCCCCTCCGACTCCCTCCCTCTGTCGTCGCCCTTCACCCCCTCCTTCTGCTCCTTCCCCTCCCTCCCCTCCTTCCCCTTCTCCCCCTCCCCTCCCTCTCCCTTCCCCGCCGCCCCTCTCTCCGATTCCTCAACACGCCCACGCCCATCCCCACCACCACCGCCACCACTGCTGCTACCCTTGCTCTGTTCCACCGGCTCATATGACACTCTGTGAGGCCCTGTGCCCTCCACTATGATCACACCCGGTACAAGAGGATGCTCCCTGCACACCAGGCGAGCTGACGCCACGTTCCCCGCGTCAGAGTCACAATCAGCATCGGCAACAGTCGTTTCTCCCTTCCTCTCCTCTCGCTCACTTCCCCACGTTCCTTCCCTGCTCTTCGCTTCAGCCTTTTCCCCTCCTCCTCCCCTTCCCCCTCCCCCAGGATCCAGTCCCAGCGCGCCCGCGACCGCAATGAGCGCATCTTCGGTGGTTGTGCGGAGGGGGTTCACGCGCAGACACACTGACAGGGGCGGACGGCTGTGGCGGGCGGCATGGGCAGCGGAAAGGGAGAGAGAGAGGGGAGAGAAGCGGGGAAGGGATGGGGGAAAAGTGGGGAGGGAAGAGGGGAGGGGGAGATGTGTGGGGAGAGCGGGGGAGGGCAATGTGCCCGATAAAGGAAGAGGGAGGGGCGTGGCCGACGAGTCGAAAAATACGGTTAGGGGATAACGAGAGAGGGGAAAAGGGGATGCTGGTGCCGGGGAGAAGAAGAGAGCGAGAGCATTTGCGGGGACACCCAAGCAACTGATATCCCAAGCAAAAGCAGCGAAAGGTGCCGTCGCAACACCTTAGCGCGGTGCAGATACGCTCGAACCGCTCCGCACCGTACGCCTGCGATAGGTACGCGCGGACGCCTGCCTGCCATTCCAACTGCGGATCGAATCGCCAGTCGCCCTCCGCCGTCGGGTCGGAAAAATCGTACGCACTATTAGTTGTTGCTTCTCCTGCTGCTCCTCCTGAAGCAAGTTTCGGTGATTGTTCCAACGGCGGTTTCGACGCTGCTGCGGGCTCTCTTGCACTCCCTTCCGTGGCTTCTTTTTGACCTGAAGCAGGTGCCATGACTGGATTCTGACAGCTAAAATCTGGCCCCGTGATCAATGGAAGTTGGTATGTTTCCCGTGATCATCCATGCTGCTCGGGGTGGTTACGTGCAAACCTCCGTTAAACCCTCTGTTATCAGTTTTGTCCAAATACACGAAAGTAAAAGCCGCTGCGTATCGGGAACGTTGCTACAAAGAGTATGCTACCATTGGCTAGAACTCCAGTTTCCCGCCTGCTGACATCTGTCTCCCTTCCCACCACGTCAGTGCAGTCCTTGCATATCAATTTCGCGCGGCGCCTTCCAGTAAAACACTCCCCTCCCCAGCTTTGGAAATGGCGAGACGAGATGCCAAACGTTTCTCTGAACATGACCAGCCAGCCCATCGGATGGGCTGTTTTTACATTGCTCTTCCGCAATCATGCACTTAGCCGCCTCGAATGTGGTTTCTCCATAAATTGCGAGCTAATCTGGCAAGATGGACAGCTCGCTCGTGCATATTGGGTTTCCACGAATGCATATTGCCTTTCCGCAATCGTCATTCTCCTCCTCTCCTTATCACGTCGAGACGCTTCCAACATGCCGCAACCCGAACGCCCTCGTAATGAATTGCTCCTCGATAATGCCCCGCTGGCACGAGGCTTCCTGCTGACGCAGGACAATCGTCGCCGTTCGATGGTTTCGAGAATAATTCCGCCTGTCCACTTTCGCAGAATCTAAAGACGTCCCCTAAACCCCCTTTTCAGCCCGTCAGCCACGCGGTGCGCAGACCTTGTTGTCCACTCATCCATGCCCCTGACGCCGTCCTGATCCACAACCCTTTCGTGTCCGTACGAATCACCTCATATCGAGGTCATGGGGCCCACCGAAGGTCGCGTGACGTGTCGCCACGTGGACGCAAACGGATGGTCGTCGAGCAGAGCGAAACAAGTCGCGAGGCTGTCGTATCGATCAAGCTCAGGCAAGCGTGTGGGCCTCAACTGCAACAGTCACGTGACGAAAGGCTGCGACGTTTCGCCAGGACCCATCGCACGTGACTTATATGGTTTCCCCCCGCCTAATTACTCCGCCTGCTGCTGCCGCCGTTCTGCTTGCCCAAGGAGCATCGTACGTGGACGAGAGACGACCTCCTCTCACTCGCGCCTCTACGTCTTATTGGTCGTCGCCATCAGCAGCAGCGCTTGCCGTGGCGTCACGGGAAAAGGCGCTTCTCCGTCTTTTCTCCACAAACCGCTGTGATGTGACTGAGCCTTCACTTCGCTCCTAGTAGCACCTGAGGAATCTTGAAAGGCGAGGATCGGATTACCTAGGTCACGGATCCGGCAGATCGGCGAGTTGCATCTTCCCTACAGCAAGACGACCCGGTTATTCTTTTCGTTCCAAGGGGCATGGCGGCGTCGAGCCTCTCTACTGGAAACCAGTCTTACTACAGCACTAGTCCTCGAAACACCACTGGCACCACTACCGGCACCGTCACCACTCCCTCCACCACCACCACTCCCAGCAGCACTCCATCTGGGACCCTCAGTAGCAGCTGCAGTAGCGGCTACTACGGCAACAGCCACGGGAGCACCTACCGTGGTGATCAGCGTAGCGATTATTACAGCTCTCCTCCTGACTATCGCCAGCAGCAACAGCAACAGCGGCAGCAGCAGCCGCTGGGGCAGCAGTCGTCGCTCAAGCCGTACCCGCTGATGCGCGTGCTAGAGGCGTCAATGATGGAATACGCCAACCGATCCCCGTCCCGTCAATCCTCCTCCTCCTCCTCCCGCCCGCCTCGCCTCAATCGGGGCTTTGGCAGCGGCGGCAGCGGCGGCGGCGCCAGCAGCCGCGGGTCGTTCGCCATCCGACGCACGTGGTCGCAGGGATCCAACGGCTCTGCTTCGTCGCCGTACAGCAACAACAGCAGCACGACGCGTTCGCCCTGCGGCGGAAGCACCACACCTGTTCTGGACGAGCTTTCGCCCGGGTTGGGGTCTGGGCGACTGCTGTCGCTGGAGACGCCGAGGCACCGGATTGGTCGGCGACTGCAGAAGCACCTGAGCGATCGCATGTTCAGGGAGTCGTTCTGGAGTCCCGCGCCGCCGCGCGACTCGCTTCCCAAGCCGTTCACGTTTAAGAAGCCCGAGGGCAACGGTGCTGCTGCCAACATCTCGCTCGTTCTCGTCGCAATTCTTGCGACCGTAGGTACGTATGCTAACAATCTATCCCTCCCAAATTCCAATTCCTCCCTCCCAACTCCCCTCCACTCCCCTTTGGGCTTTTCTTTTCCTCCCCTCCCCTCATGTTCCCCCCGCTCCTCACAACGATTTGAGCGATGGTATGCTTAAATCACGGATCTCCTTCACATCAAGGTATGCTTGTACATATTGAGTTCCTGCTGATTTCGCTCTCACCCTACTCTCGTGCTGGTTATACAGAAAGATAACATGTTCGTTTCTTCTCCCCATGTCTGCCCATGTGCGCACCACAGGCATAGCCATTGCGCTGGCCATGGTGTCCATGCCACTCCTGGGGCTCATCGAGTCGTACTTCACAGGAGAACCCGCCAGCCTCCCCGCGCTCTTCCCCCACCCGTACTCCCCGTTCGCCTACATGGGTGGAGGTGGGGAGGAGTCCATGATGGTCACTGGCGGCTTTGACTCGGGCCTCAATTGGTGAGACGCGTGATGGTGATCCAGCAGCAGCCTGCCTGCACCTGCTGATAAGAGGCCCCGAGGGGTTGATGACTGTAGTTTGACGAATTTTGGGTGGTGACTGCACTTTGTCACTGGTTATTTTTTCACCCAGCTGGGTTGGTCTTCCCATGTCTCCTCCTCCTCCTCCTCCTCCTCCTCCTCCTCCTCCTCCTCCTCCTCCTCCTCCTCCTCCTCCTCCTCCTCCTCCTCCTACTGTCCTTCCTCACTCCACCCGTTTTCTCGACTGTCGTCCGTCTTTTTGTTCGTTGACGTTGCCTTGTGTAACGTTGTGTGGGTAGGGGTTGTGCCGATGGGGAGAACTGCCATCTCTCCAAGGTTCTTCTAGCAGCGGCGCTTGGCTTGTCCGCGCTGCTCATCCTACTCATGTGCCTTGCGTTTTTTGTGGATAAGGTTCTATCCAGAATGCTGGGGCATACCATTCAAGGTATGCTTGTACATATTGGTGGATTGGCACGATTTCTTGAATGTGTGTTTCTTTAATTTGACATCGTTTCCTCATTACAGCTCTCACACAACATCAACTAAAAAGAAGGCCGTCAGAGAGCCATATTGGTATCGACTGGAAATTTCGGCTGTATGGCATGCGCCAAATTTGCCGCATGTGGAAAGGTGGACGAGTGGAGTTACTAGCAGGAAGTCCAGCAGGCTATGAAGTGAGACATAGAGGCATGACATTCTCGTTATAGAAGATAGAAGGTATCAATCTGTTCATAGGAATTACAGTACAAGGCCCTTATGTACATTTGCATGTTTCTGACATGTACAAATATATTCCCACCCACCCATCTAGTAGCCTGCATTCTACTCCATGGTGCAGATTTCGGAATCTGACATCGAAACACCTCGCAACGAAGACAAAGAAATCCATTTCATGGGTTTCCAGAGTGTCACACAGCTCCGCTATTGGCTCAGGAGTTTCGAACAATCTACATGTGCCCGAGGGCCTGCAGCGCTGTCAACAACAAGCAGACCGCGCCGGAATATGACAGGCCGTGATTGGTGAATCCTTAGTCGACGTGGCCTCCACCTGTCAGTTCCAGCTCGCCGCGCAGCGTCTGGAAGAGTTGACGACGAGGTCCAGGTCCGTGTCATGAAATCCTCAAGCTCAGCATTTGCCCCCTCCAACTCCGCGTGACTGGGAATCATCATTCCCCCATCCTCTTTTTCCTTTCTCTTCGCTCCTAGAAAGGAATTTCTCAGATTTCAGTTTTCAGGCTGAAGCTGAAAGGCACGTTTTTCGTTGAACCCCATCAGCCAGCCAAACCCACCACCCGATCTTGAGCTTCGTCTTCCTGCACTTCGGAAGCTGACCGTGCAATCGCTGATTTCTTGAGGATCTTCTCACATTCGCTTTGAACAATGGCTCAAGCGACTTCCGTCGCGAGGCTGAACGTCACCTGCGCCGCACCAGCAAATTCCAGCGCTGCTGCCAGGCCGCAGCGACAAGAGGCGTCGCTCGTGGCGTCATGGAGGAAGGCGCGCGTCGCCAGACCGGTGGTGCTCAGTGCCAGCGCGCAGGTGCAGGCCGCCCCCCGCGTCTCTGCACGCTCCGTAGCGGTGAAGGCATCAGCAGGCTCTGCCGACGAGGTAAATCAGTCTTGACCAGTCCTGACTTGTCCGCATTGAACGGGCCCACCGCTTCGCAAACCAGCATCTTTTGTTTCTATTGTAGTGTTTTCATCGCGGACAGACGTCCTATCATTTCAACCACGACACTCGTCACTCGTCGAAGCCCATAAATTCGTACCTAGTTAAACACTGAAACTCGTGTTCTGTCTGCAATCGTCTCACCACGATGGTCCCTCATCGTTTCGCTTCGCCTCCCACGCATACGCGTACCCCTCCGCGTCCCGCGCGAGTGCAGGCGGGCGTCAAGTACCACTTCGTGGTGGCGAACGCGACGTTCATGCTGGACGAGGAGGAGCACTTCCAGGAGCAGCTCAAGGAACGGCTACGGTGGCTGGAGGAGAAGGGCACGGAGCAGAACTTCTGGCTCGTCTTCGAGCCCAAGTTCCTCGAGGAGTTCCCCGAGATCGCCAAGCGCGTCAAGAGACCCGCCGTCGCTCTCGTCTCCACCGACGCTACCTGGATCACGTAAGCCTCGTCTCTCTTTTTAACTCCCCTCTCCTCTTCTCCTTGCGCCTGTCCTTCCCTCTATTACCTCACGACCTCTCGTTCCCTCTTTTCCTCGTTCTCACATATTTTGTCGTCCTCTCCTCCTTCCCTATCCTCTAGTCCTCCTTCGCTTTCCTCTCGTCCTCCTTCGCTTTCCTCTCGTCCCCTCCTTTACTATCCTCTCGTCCTCTCCTCCCCTGTCCTCTCGTCCTCTCCTCCCCTGTCCTCTCGTCCTCTCCTCCCCTGTCCTCTCGTCCTCTCCTCCCCTGTCCTCTCGTCCTCTCCTCCCCTGTCCTCTCGTCCTCTCCTCTTCTGTCCTCTCCTCTATCCTCTTGTCCTCTTCTGTCCTCTCGTCCCATATTCTCTCGTCCTCTCCTCCCTATCATCTCGTCCTCTTCTCCTACCCTATCTTTTCATCCTCTCCTTCTCCCCTATCCTCTCGCCTCTCCTCCCTTATCCTCTCGCCTCTCCTCCCTTATCCTCTCGCCTCTCCTCCCTTATCCTCTCGTCCTCTCCTCCTCCCTTTTCCTCTCGTCTTCTCCTCTTCCCCTATCCTCTCGTCGTCCTTCCTTTCGTCGTCCTCCTCCCCTATCCACTCGTCCTCTCCTCCCTATCCTCTCGTCCTCTCCTCCTCCTATCCTCTCGTCCCCTCCTCCTATCCTCTCGTCCTCTCCTCTTCTATCCTATCGTCCTCTTCCATTATCTCGTCCTCTCCTCCTCTCCTATCCTGTCGCCTCTCCTCCCCTATCCTCTCGTCCTCTCTTCCTCCCCTATTCTCTCGTCCTCTCCTTCTCCCCATCCTCTCGTCCTCTCCTCCTCCTCTATCCTCGTCCTCGTTCTTTCCTTTCCCTATCCTCTCGTCCTCTCCTTTCCCCTTCTCTCCTCTCCTATCCTCTCGGTCTGTCTTCGTCCCCGTTCCTACTCCCTCCTTCCGTCACCCACGCGCACGCACCTCGACCTTTTGCCCTGGGACATCTAGGTCCCGTAAACACAGGGATACATCTCGAATCAGTTGGAATCGAGCCGCTATTTAGGAACAGGACCTACTGAAGCGTATCTACTTTTTTTTTTTTTGTGGCATTGGGGCCAATGTCGTTTCGTTATCTCAACGAAGACGGTCAGGTGTTTTGCGACCACTGTCTCAGCTTCAGATGCGGCCTTGGCTTCGCTTTACAAACATTTCCCACATCCTGGTTTTATATCTTGCCTCTCATTGATCAACATTACCTCCTCTCGTACCCCCGTGCTCCCCGATCATGATCCTTCCCCGCACATCCCCTTCCCGCTCCCTCCCTGCCTCCCATACTCTATGCGAGTCGAAACCAAACGGACTGTTATCTCTTTCCACAACTCGTGCGCCATCGTGCGTTTCTGGCAGGTTCATGAAGCTGCGTCTGGACCGCGTGCTCAAGGGCGAGTTCGAGGCCAGCTCACAGGACGACGCATTGGAGGGCAAGCCTTTTGACATCTCCTTCCCCAAGCCCGCCAACTGGGTCGCGCCCTACCCTAAATACGAGCCCAACTGGTGGAAGCCCTATGCCCCGGCCAAGTATGCCAAGGCCAACTAGATGGGTTTGGGTTAGGGACTGGGTGTGCTGTGCTGCGTTTGTTTCTAGGGACGTGCTAGAGATGTGCTGCAAGTGACTTGTTGTCAGGCTTGACACAATTTTTGGCGTCCTTTAGATGATAGGGAAATGAATGAAGGAACTGTTGTGATGTATGTCAGCTGGAATAACAGCCTCAATTGGTTGGCTCAACGCTCAGAGCATTAGTGGAATGAGACTTTCACCTCATACGGTATTTGTAATGGATGGACATTAACTTCCGCTGCCTTTCAGCGAAGCACAGAAAAAAAAAACCCACACCATGGTACCGTATGCTTTCAAGAAATCCGCCTGCCTATCCAGCTTGGAACAATGCCACTCTTTTTCAAGAGATTTTCCTCCATCTCGTCCAGGCCAGGGCTCTTGCTAGGATTTGGGCCTGTCTGAAATACCTAAGTAAAAAAACCGTTCCGTCTGACGTTCAGACATGCATATTTTTTTGGTCTGATTTTTTGGACGAATGTTGAAGCTTAGTCTGATTCTTCATACGATTTAATTTGGGCAGTCTAATTTAGCTAACACACTTGTCTGACATAATCACGCTTATTTTGTTAATGAACGCGCCCCTGGCGCGGTGCTGACAGCTCGCTAGCTGACAGCCGTGTGGCTGTTGAGGGGCACGCACGTGACAATGAGGGGCTGCGACGCGAGGGATCAGGCTGGGTGGAGGTGGAGGGACGCGAAGGGGGGGCTGGGCTGCGAGACATTACGAGGGGCATGAAAGCGGGCTAGGCTGGGAGCGAGACCTGGAGACCTCAGTTGGGGGAAGGGGGAGAAGGTTTGGACAGGACTAGGCCTGGAAGAGGAGCGAGGGCATAGAAGGGGGGGCTGAGCTGGTAGAGTAGCGAGAGTTCGGGGGGGAAAGGGGGGGTTGGGGGGAGGGGGATCGGTATCAGACGAAAAACAACTCGTTATCTGAAATATGTAAAATTTTTAAATACAATTTTCAAAATTTAAAGATTATGACAAGACTTGTAAAGGATTATGCACTAAGGAGTCATCTGCTCCTTATCTCGTGGCAGGTCCACAGACCTGCCACCTAGTCGAATCATTTCTAGATCTGAATCTAGAACAGCACACCTAGGGAACTTGTCCACCCTCCTAGACTAACTCGTCCGCCATTGCTGCTACCTCGTACATGACGAGAACTTCGTACATGCTGCTTCTACGAATGAAGCGATATCTGCTGGAAGTTTCTGCAATTGCAAGTACAAAAATCGTTTTTTGTATGGCAAAATCATAATATACACTGCTGATACATCTACGTGCAACATACTGCGCGGAACATATTGCCGCTGCTTCTACCAGTGGCGATCTTCCTCGATACTGCTGCATAGGAGGTGTTCGTTTCGGCGGCTGCGGTCGTTGCGACCTCTTGGAGCTGGCGATGCTGCTGCAGCGACTATGACTGCTGCTGCTGCCGGGACGGTTGCTGCTGCTATGAGACGAGCCGCTGCTGCTTACGCTGCGCATGGCGAGACAACGGCTGCTGCTGTTGCGGTTGGAATAAACTCACGGTGGCATGTGGCAAGACCGCTGCAGTTGCGGGTGTCCTATCGCTACTGCTATCCTGTTATCTGATGCTGATGCATGATCGCTACTGCTGCTGCGCACGAATCTTGCTGGAGCTGCGAGATCGCCGCTGCTGCTGCTGCTGTGCGATCAATGTTGCCGCTGCTGTGCGCTGTTGCTGCTACTGTGCGATTGCTGCTGCTGCTACTTCACGATCGCTGCTGCTGTGCGATCGCCGCTGCTGTGCGATCGCTGCTGCTGCTGCTGCTGCCGCGCAATCGCTGCTGCTCCTGCTTCGCGATCGCTGCTGCTGTGCGATCGCTGCTGCTGTGCGATCGCCACTGCTGTGCGATCGCTGCTGCTGCGGCTGCCGCGCGATCGCTGTTCCTGTGCGGTCGCTTCTGCTGCTGCGCGATCGCTTCTGCTACGGCTGCCCGATCGCCGCTGCTACTTCGCGTTCGCTGCAGCTACTCCGTGATTGCTGCTGCTGGGCACGATCTGCGCTGCTGGCGCGCGATCGCCTTTGCTGGCCTGCGATCGCCATTGCTGGTGCACGATCGCCGCTGCTAGCGTGCGGTCGCTGCTGCTGCCTCAATAGCGCATCTGCTGTGGCGTGATTTGCTGGTGCTATCGAGATCGAGATGGTGCTGCTCTGCCTGACGACACAGCAGCTACCACAGCTATGAGGGACGAGAAGTTGCCCTCGCTGCTATGTGCAAACTGAAATTGCAGTTACTGGTGTAACTCTTGATTTGGTGTTAAAAGATTGTGGTGGCCTATACGATTATGGCCTTAAAAAAAAAAAAAAAAAAAAAAGACAAGGCCCAAAGAAGATTATGATTCAGTGTAAGGGCCAGAGCATGACACTTGCAGTATTGTGTCGTGCAGCATAAGAGGCCGTCCGCGTGCATCATTATGTCTGAATTAATATGCGGTATGCCGGATTTGTACGCCTCATAATAATTAGTAACGCGTTCTTGTCAGAGTTATATGACATAGCTACTGTAGGCTATAGTGGGGTAGCACATATGGGGTACAGTTGCCTAGGGTTTGCCTTTTGTACCCAACTTTCACTTAGTCATTTCATTCCTGTTTTCTTGATTCACATGGTATAGAGCGGGTTCCTATATGGGACCGTTCCTTCCTAAGGGCCCACCATAAGATTTTTTTTTTTTAGCTGCCCGCGCACATTGCGCCCTGCCCTAATTTTTTTTTTTTAGCGGCCCCTACGCTGCCCCTACGCGGCCCCTACGCCGCCTCCCACGCGCCCCCTATGCGGCCCCTGGCGGCGCCCTGACGAGGCCCCTGCCGGCGCCCTATCGCGGCCCCTGACGCGCCCCCTGGTGGCGCCCTGACGCGGCCCTGACGCGGCCCCTGGCGGCGCCCTGACGCGGCCCCTGCCGGCGCCCTATCGCGGCCCCTGACGCGGCCCCTGGTGGCGCCCTGACGCGGCCCTGACGCGGCCTGACGCGGCCCCTGGCGGCGCCCTGACGCGGCCCTGCCGTGGCCCCTGACGCGGCCCTGACGCGGCCTGCCGCGGCCCCTGCCGCGGCCCTGAAGCGGCCCCTGACGCGGCCCTGACACGGCTCTGCCGTGGCCCTGACGCGGCCCTGACGCGGCCCTGCCGCGGCCCCTGGCGGCGCCCTGACGCGGCCCCTGCCGCGGCCCTGACGCGGCCCTGCCGCGGCCCCTGACGCGGCCCTGACGCGGCCTGCTGCGGCCCCTGCCGCGGCCCTGAAGCGGCCCCTGACGCGGCCCTGACGCGGCTCTGCCGCGGCCCTGACGCGGCCCTGACGCGGCCCCTGCCGCGGCCCCTGGCGGCGCCCTGACGCGGCCCCTGACGCGGCGCCCTGACGCGGCCCTGCCGCGGCCCCTGACGCGGCCCCTGCCGCGGCCCCTGACGCGGCCCCTGACGCGGCCCCTGTCGCGGCCCCTGACGCGGCCCCGCCACCTACCTTTCCGGCCACGCCGCCTCCTCTCAGCGGCCCCGCCGCCTCCTCCCAGCGGCCCCGGACGCCGCCCTCTCAGCGGCCCCGCCGAGCCGCCCAGCAGCCTAGCCGCCCAGCAGCTGAGCCACCGAGCCGCCCAGCAGCCGAGCCGCCGAGCCGCCCAGCAGCCGAGCCGCCCAGCAGCAGAGCCGCCGAGCCGCCCAGCAGCCCAGCCGCCGAGCCGCCCAGCAGCCGAGCCGCCCAGCAGCCGAGTCGCCGAGCCGCCCTGCAGCCGAGCCGCCCGAGCCGCCCTATCCGGTAAGAGCAGCGCCTCTCTCACAGCACTGCCCTCACCCCACTGTTTGCGCTGCTAGTCTACTGCTGTCATGGCTACCCCTAGTGTCCTCGCTTTTGACGCTGAGGGTCGGGCCATTGACTTTGACGTCTGGATAGATGACCTGCAGCTTTTCTTACAGTGCGATAGGGCAGACGGCCTCTCCCTCTTTGACCTCACTTCTGGTGCCTCTCCTGCCCCCGCCACTGATGCTGACGCAACTGTTCGCTCCCAGTGGGCCACGCGCGATGCTGCTGCACGTCTTGCTGTGCGTCGCCACCTGCCTACCTCTGAGCGTGCGCACTTTAGCCAGTACAAGAGTGCTCAGACCTTGTACGACGCTGTAGTTGCACGCTACTCCTCCCCTGCCACTGCTGCACTGAGTCGCCTCATGCTACCGTACCTCTTCCCTGACCTTGCTGCCTTTCCCACAGTCGCTGACCTCATTACGCACCTACGCACTAGTGACACTCGCTACCGCGCTGCGCTTCCTGCTGAGTTCTGCGCCAAGAACCCCCCCCCCATGTACATCACCCTCTACTACATAGTCACCCGGCTCCCTGACTCCCTTCGCGTAGTCAGGGACCACTTCCTCTCAGTTTGCCCCACCACTCTCACCGTTGACCTCCTCGAGAAGTCCCTCCTAGCAGCAGAGAAGAGCATAGTAGCTGTAGGAGCCTCTCGTGGTGACCCTCGCACCCCCATCTTTGAGGGGTGTTCCCCCTCCCCCCTTTTGCCCTCTGTTGCCTCTGCTGCTGCGGCCGACCTCGTTGGGCTTGAGTCGGTCGGTGCGGCGTCTACCCCTAGCGGGAGACGCCGCCCTGGCAAGGGCAAGGGGGGCAGGGGCGCTGGAGGAGCTAGCGGGGGCGGTGGAGGCGGCAGTGGAGGCGGTGGAGGAGGTGGGGGTGGCGGTGGGGGTGGTGGCGGGGGTGGAGGTGTCGGTGGCGGCAGTGGAGGCGGAGGCGGCAGCGGCAGTGGCGGAGGGAGCGGAGGTGGCGGCGGTGGAGGAGGAGGCGGCGGAGGAGGTGGAGCTGGTCGGGGTGGCGCTGCGCAGAGGGTCGGCTCCGGTGGTGGTCAGCGCCAGCAGCAGCAGCAGCACCAGCAGCGCACTCGTGACATCCCCTCCCCTCAGCAGCTCCGTGAGTGGTACACTGCACGCCAGAGGGGTGGGGGTACTGGTCCGTGCACCT